TGCAAACAAGTGACTCTGCAATGTACAGGCCAAACCCTTCCCCCCCTTTTGCCTGTTCACTCTGTCACATCTGTATAGGTTGTACCTGGGATCCATATTTCGTTGTCCAAGTGATCCTTTATGTGGGTCTCAGTGAAAGCCGCGAACATTGCCTTTGCCTCTGCAAGCAGTCCACGGATGAAAGGTATTTTGTTGTTTGTTGCTGGCTTTAGACCCTGTATATTTGCAAAGAAGAATGTTATCGGACTGGTGGTATTGTTGGTACTGGGGGGGGATTTTTTTTCCGGCATTAGTATCTGTATCTGTTGGTTTGGAGTGGAGGCCATCGACTGTGGTTCCACTCCAGGAATGACTGGATTTGGTGTACGATTTCTGCCATTTCCTGCCAGTTTTTTTTCCTTCCTGGCACTAAAAAACCTCTCCCTCTTGAGTGGCTGTGGCTACCCACAGCCACAGGCATACCCTTTAGATGGTATGCCTGGCAATTTAAGTTATAGCACAGTCTTTCCTGTACTGAAGAGGTACACATTTCAGGGTGAAAAAGCTTACAGGAAGGGAGTTTGCATTTTCCTGTTGTCATATGGGCATGGCATTTTCTAGGGTGGTCATAGTTGCTCGTCCCATCTGTTTTTCCAGATTTCCCATGCCAGCAGATATCAAGTGCATAGTATGTGCACAGGCTTGGTTTCCGCTTGCCTTGGGTTTCTGTGATTGTATTCCCTGTTGGTGCATGTTTCCCTGTCTTACTTCTATCCTCCCTAGCACCAACAATGGAGCTCCCACCAGTTGTTTTTGGTAATTTATCCTCACTATTGCTATTGGAGTCCTTTTGTTTGCTATTTCCTGCGGTATTTCTAGTTTGCAATATTTGTTTTATCTTATCTTTGACTACACTTGTTTCCCTACTATGGCTCCTGTCCCCTATGAGGTCATTTATATGTATTCCTTCCTGCGTATAATTCCCGACTACCTGGACAAAATCTCCAGCTTCACCATTACTGTCTCCCAGGACAGTATCTCCAGCTTCACCATTTCTGTCTCCCAGGACAGCACCTCCAGCTTCACCATTACTGTCTCCCAGGACAGCACCTCCAGCTTCACCATTACTCTCTCCCAGGACAGCACTATCAGCCCCACATTTACTGACTACCAGGACATCACCTCCAGCCTTACAGTTTGTGACTACATGGCCAGTATCAAGGGCAGTACCATTCAGCCCAGACTTTTTATGTTCCCATCTGTTGTAGAAAGCTTCCAGGTTTTCTATGAAAGCAGCTTTGATGTTGTCCTCTTTTAATACCCTTGTGATTTTAGTCCACAGATTTTCCTCATTTGGGCATACCCAGAAACACTTCTCTGTTTTAATACTGCTTGTAGCTAGTTCTGGGATATCTGCACAAGGGGCGTGACACCAATTTCCACAAAAATGACAATTTATCCATGTGGAAGCCCGTTTGTTTGACTGACCACAGACTACACACAGCTTCATAATGATTTGAATGGTTGATTTACTGCAATTCTACTAGAGTTTCTCAACTAATTCCCCAACAACCTGAGACCAACACGCATATATGAGTTACCCAAAACCTGTAAATTAAAAGTTCCCCCTGACAGTTACACCAGTGTGGTCGGGCAGGTTTAAGTGCGCCACACACAACCTAACAAAACAAAAACTCTGCAAACTCCCAGGCATGAGCAGTCTGGTTCACCTCCTGCACTCGGCTGATTTATTAGACAGTTTTTAAAGCATCGACGTTAAAAAAAAAAAACTTGTAAGTCATAACGTCACATCTTTGTTCACTAGTCCCCCCAATGGAAATAAATCAGTGTCTGACTTTTTTGAGTTATCCTAGGTTCTCTACACATATGCTGCTATGTATGATAATTCTATGTAACTGCATTTGTGTATACCTGAACAAACTTACTTACACAGGCAATTACTCTACGACTAAGAACCGCGTCAGGAAGCCCTTGTCCAGTTTCCTGACAAATCTTACCTAACCTACCCTCTACGGGTCTACGCCGCCAAAAAGTCACTAACGACCTGGAGCCTTTTCCCCAGCTAAGGAATTCGTATATATTAATGAGCTGTTCATCGGTTTTAGCTGCCTCTCGTTCGACGACTCAGTATATAGAAAACTCTGTGGGATGGCCAAGGCTCATCCCTCGATGTAATTCTGACTAACCTGTACACGGAGCACTTGGAGGAGGATTAACTGAAACTGGAAATCCCCAACAGAGTAATGTTACTGAGATGCGTAGAAAATATCCTAGTCATCGTTCCTGTGAGATTCGACATGACTGAATTCCTTATTATAATCATCTCTGTAGAACTCTCAATCAAGTTGACTAAGCACGAGGAGCAAAATGAATATCTACCTTTTCTAGATATATTATTATGTAGGAGTCTATTGGTAATCCGCCAATAGACCCCTTGCTGTCTAGAAGGCGCTGGACAGGCACGTAAAGTCAGTACCTGACCAGCCGGGCTGTGGCTCGTACGTAGGTTTACTTGCGGCCAGCAGTAACATCCTGGTTGATCAGGCCTTGATCCACCACGAGGCCTGGTCGCGGAAGCGTTGACCCCCCCCCCCCTTCCAGCAGGTATTGTGACATGTAATCTTTGTAGACTTCCTGTACACACTGAAATATAATTTATTGTTATTCCTGCACAATAATACGTCTAGAAAAGTTATCAGAGTAGGAGTTATTATAGAATTCAACTTCAGAACATAAAGGATTATTAGCCCAACTTACCTCGAAGAGGAATGTGATTCCATATACCAGGCCTTTAACCAGACTGCAGTTCCCAACTCACTGCATTAACAGTTGTAGAAGTAACACCAAGAAAATCCTCGACACAACCGAAGAGTCAGCAGATAGATTTCGACCATTACCTTCAGCCTTCTTGCCAAGAGTAAACTCAGCATAGCCAACAACATATCCAGCTAAGGACCTGGTAACAACGAGAGACACGATAAAAGAAACTAGCCCAGGCGTGTATGCTATGCCATGTCGTAAAAACAACACCACCCAAGTCAAAGAGATAGAGTATGAACTGCGCCTGCACTAAACGTCGAAACTCGCACAACCATCTCATGAACTTCTAAGACGCCAAATTAAATCATCGGAGAACCTTATTGCCACCACCAGTACCATCGTACAGAATTCTGATAGTTTTATGAGTTCAGAAGTTTATGCCAGGCTCATCCTGCCCAAACTGGACACAGCCATCACTAAGCCCGCACCTGACATGTAGAACTTGACCTTGGCCCACTCTATGTACTCTGTAAACTTAGGTTCTATTAACACATTTTTTCCTACATACCTAAGAGGCGTTTTGAAGGCTTTGCTGCGCTTCCCACTGATATCTACCCAAATGAACAAACTTCTCAGCTTCACTAAGCTTGAACACTGAATATGACTAGTGTCCTTGGAGGTTCATCCAAACCTGTTCCTGGAAGGCCAGGTTGTCCTGACGAAACCTGTTCCATCCTCACACCTCAGCACCTGGCTCACTGCTCTTTACCAATTCAGTACGTTGTATCTGCTGCTTTACATCCAAGGAACAGAAGCTACCCTCCCCTTCCACGGATTAAACCTAATTACCCCTTATAACTTTTTTTTTGGTTATCCTAGGTAAATTGCACATGTTACTATGTAAGATACTTATGTGTACTTGTACCTAAATTAATTTTCTTACTATCTCAGGCTCTAATTGACTCCTGAAGGTTTAATGCTTGCCAAAGATTCTAAAGATAAGATGCAAAGGTTGGTGGAGGAATTTGGGAGGGAACGTAAAAGTAGGAAATTAAGCGTGAACGTAGGAAAGAGCAAGGTGGTGAGAGTGACCAAAAAATCTGTGCATTGAAAGATTGGATGTCTGGAGGGAGGGAGTATGGACGACGTAAATGTGTTCAGGTATTTGGGAGTAGACCTGTCAGCAGATGAGTCTTTGAAATGTGAAGTGAACCATAAAATTGAGAGGGAATTGTAAGCGGTGCACTGAAGAATCTGAGAATACAAACATTATCCATGGAAGCAAAAAGGGGGAATGTACCAGGGTGTGAATCATGGGTTTTCAACGTTATTACAGCGAGTAGGAGGCTGGAGGTAGTGGAGCTGTCATGTTTCAGGATAGCGAATCTTATGAAAAGAATTCAGAGCTCGGAGATTAGGTGTGGGGTTACCAAAAGTATTATTTAGAGGATCAAGGAGGGGCTATTGAGGTGGACTGGAGATTTAGAGAGGATGGAGCAAAATATGATTATTAGGGCGTATAAATCTGGAATAGAGGAAAGGAGGGGTAGGGGTCGTCCAGGAAAGGTAGGGTGAAGATGATGAAGGAGGTTTTGAGTGCTAGAGACTTGGACATCCGATAGGCTTGTGTAACAGCATTAGACGGAGTAAGTGGAGACAAGTGGGTTTTATAACTTGATGTACTGTTGGAGTGTAAGCAAGATAATATACATGTATATGAATGGATTCAGGGAAACCGGTTAGCTAGTCTTGAGTCCTGGAGGTGAGAAGCACAGTGTCTACACCCTGAAGGGTAAGTGTTGTAGGTCAGAGGGTCATCTGAACTGTGATGCCAGCATGCTTCTGACAAAATAGTGATTGAATTAGCGACTGTTAATGAGTTCTTCTTGATCGGATTACCCGTTAGAAACATGTGTCACACACAAATAAATAAATAAATATATATATATATATATATATATATATATATATATATTATATATATATATATATATATATATTATATATATATATATATATATATATATATATATATATATATATGTTTTGGTGTTAACTTGTGAATTTATAGAATTATTAGAGTCACAAGTCGTGTAGATATTAACAACAGGTTTTTTATTAGGTTTATATAAGTATCGTGAGAATATTAAAGAACAACAGAGGCGGATGAAAGCAATACTGACACACTCATGATGGTGTCATCTTTGTGGAAATTACCAGGAGAGATAAGACTGAGTCCCCTGAGCAGTGGTTCGTTAGTGTTGCGCCAGCTGGCGAGCGGTTGGTACCTGCACTCACTCTTAACATTCTCCATACATGATCCTGGAGACGAGAGATTTACTTCTTTAGATCGTGATTGAGAGGAAAGTGAACCTAACTGATAGCAACCTCATAGGTGCTTAACTCTGGAACATTTCTCATTCACGTGTTAGCATTCCGTCAGGGATCGTTCTCTCTCATTATCTTGCCAGTGATTTGGGTACAAAATGTACTTAATTATTAAGGCTTGGAGATATTAATCACAAGTCCTGACCGTGACGTGAGGAGCAGCACCGTGGACCGTGGCTAGGACCTGCCTGGTCATGGAAACACCTGCAGAGGTCGACAACAAAGATGTAAGTACAGTAGCCTCCTGCTGGTGTCATCTGGTTGAGGTGTGTGGTGTATCTTGGGCATACAGTGTCTCCTCTACCTTGTAGGATGCTTTAAATTTGCATGTATGGTGCCCTGAACGATTTTTAGTTTCCAACTTGCTCCCAGTGTGGTTTTTGACGACCAGGTGTGGTGTGATCTTGATGACAAGGTCTGATGTGGTCTTGATAAGGTCTGGTTTGGTCTTGATGACAAGGTTTGATGTGATCTTGATAAGGTCTGGTGTGGTCTGATGACAAGGTCTGGTGTGGTCTTGATGACAAGGATTGGTGTGATCTTGATGACAAGGTCTGGTGTGGTCTTGATGATAAGGACAAGTGTGGTCTTGATGACAAGGGCTGGTGTGGTCTTGATGACAAGGTCTGATGTGATCTTGATAAGGTCTGGTGTGGTCTTGATGACAAGGTCTGGTGTGGTATTGATGACAAGGATTGGTATGATCTTGATGATAAGGACTAGTGTGGTCTTGATGACAAGGGCTGGTGTGGTCTTGATGACAAGGTCTGATGTGATTTTGATGACAAGGTCTGGTGTGGTCTGATGACAAGGGCTGGTGTGGTCTGATGACAAGGTCTGGTGTGGTCTTGATGACAAGGACTGGTGTGGTCTTGATGACAAGGTCTGGTGTGGTCTTGATGACAAGGACTGGTGTGGTCTTGATGACAAGGTTTGGTGTGGTTTTGATGACAAGGTCTGGTGTGGTCTTGATGACAAGGACTGGTGTGGTCTTGATGACAAGGACTGGTGTGGTCTTGATGACAAGGTCTGGTGTGATCTTGATAACAAGGACTGGTGTGATCTTGACAAGGTCTGGTGTGATCTTGATAAGGTCTGGAGTGGTCTTGATGACAAGGGCTGGTGTGGTCTTGATGACAAGGTCAGGTAAGGTCTTGATGACAAGGTCTGGTGTAGTCTTGATGACAAGGACTGGTATGGTCTTGATGACAAGGTCTGGTGTGGTCTTGATGACAAGGACTGGTGTGGTCTTTATGACAAACAAGGTCTGGTGTGGTATTGATGACAAGGTCAGGTGTGGTCTTGATGACAAGGTCAGGTGTGGTCTTGATGACAAGGTCTGGTGTGGTCTTGATGACAAGGTCAGGTGTGGTCTTGATGACAAGGTCTGGTGTGGTCTTGATGACAAGGTCTGGTGAGGTCTTGATGACAAGGTCTGGTGAGGTCTTGATGACAAGGTCTGGTGTGGTCTTGATGACAAGGTCTGGTGTGGTCTTGATGACAAGGTCTGGTGTGGTCTTGATGACAAGGTCTGGTGTGGTCTTGATGACAAGGTCAGGTGTGGTCTTGATGACAAGGTCAGGTGTGGTTTTGATGACAAGGTCTGGTGTGGTCTTGATGACAAGGTCTGGTGTGGTCTTGATGACAAGGTCTGGTGTGGTCTTGATGACAAGGTCAGGTGAGGTCTTGATGACAAGGTCTGGTGAGGTCTTGATGACAAGGTCTGGTGTGGTCTTGATGACAAGGTCTAGTGTGGTCTTGATGACAAGTCTGGTGTGGTCTTGATGACAAGGTCAGGTGAGGTCTTGATGACAAGGTCTGGTGAGGTCTTGATGACAAGGTCTGGTGTGGTCTTGATGACAAGGTCTGGTGTGGTCTTGATGACAAGGTCTAGTGTGGTCACGTCCAGGTCTGGTATTTTCATGAGCAAGACGGTGGTCCTCTTAACTATGTCTGTCCACATGATACTACTTAACATATCTTCACAGCATAGTCAGAAATTACGCTGCTTGTTTAAAACAAGTTACTTTGATCGGGAAGTTAAGAGCAACGTTCAAAGATGTTATTAAAAATGTATTAATTATCAGTTTTTCTCAAAGCAATATTTTCCCAGAGTCAACAATGTTCCTACTATATGGCGGAACTTGCATGTGGACGTATAATGTGTCTTAAAGAAACAAGTAGCAGGTGTAGTTAACTAAGATGACAGTAGCATCCACAGTTGTGTACACACCAAGTATATACACGTAATATTACCCGGTAGTATTGTTCTTGACTCTATCTTACCTGTCAATATGCAGGTTGAGAGACTTCTTGCACAAGCGTCTCATTCGGAATTCATCTTATCAGTTTTCTAGACCATTTACATCACCGTCAAAATATCATACTTGGTGTAGTGTGTAGGTCACAGTGACACTGGTGGACGGTGTGGTAGGTCACAGTGACACTGGTGGACGGTGTGGTATATATTATATATATATATATATAATATATATATATATATATATATATATATATTATTATATATATATATATAATGTGTGTGTGTGTACTCACCTAATTGTAATCGCCTAAGTGTGGTTGTATGGGTCGATTCATAGCTCCTGGCCCCGCCTCTTCAGTGGTCGCTACTAGGTCGACTCTACCTGCTCCATGAGCTTCGTGTATGTGTGTATGCGGTAAGATCACAGTAAACAAGTGATATCACAATATACAAAACCTCTGTGAAAAAAAAGTGAAATTCCAAGCGCTTTCGTGATTTCTCACATTATCACATGAAAGTGACATAATTTAAACTGCGTATAACTGCAGTACGATGTAGTCGGGCCATGGTATCGACAGTCCGTACTGGCCAGGCTTCAAACAACTTTTATTGTACAACAATAAAGGAATGAAACAGACTACCTGCACATGTCAAAGCCAGTCATAGCATCAACCAGTTCAAGAAGAAAACTAAAAGGTGCCTAATGAATGTAGTGACAGAGAAGAGAATTATTTTTTTATTTTTTTTAGCTAGTACACATGTAAGTATAAATAACTCATTTTACCTTATTTCTAGTATATCTCCTTTGTAGTATATTAATAAGATATTATCTCCTTTATAGTATAATAATAAGGTATTTAATGGACGCCAATGGAAATAGGTCACTGACTTTTTTGGGTTATCCCAGGTTCTGTACACATATGCTGCCATGTATGATAATTCTATGTAACTGTATTTGTGTATACCTGAAAAAACTTACATCTCTGTAATGAATGTTGTTTTCAGTGGTGCGCCATCTGGAGTACGATTGTAGTGTCTGGAACCATTGCCTTCATCGGCTTGTCCTTTGTCTTGAAGGACATTATTACCCTGGGTCTGGTGCTGCTGTTTATTGGAGGTAAGTGTTCTCGCTCACAAACACCACACCCATATCATCACCATTTGCAGCAGTACTGCTCATAATCACATCACCCATTTTCAAGCCAACAACTCATCACTGTCACACTAATGTTTCACCTACAGAGACAGTACAAGCACTACAACCTCCTCTACTTGAAACATCCATCACACTTGTCACCTCCCATTGATTTCAACACCATATTACTACATCGCTATCACAGACCGGGACGCGGGGGCGTTGACCCCCGGAACTCTCTCCAGGTATCTCCTGGAGTATACTTGGAGAGAGTTCCGGGGTCAACGCCGCCGCGTCCCGGTCTGTGATCAGGCCTCATGGTGGATCAGGGCCTGATAAACCAGGCTGTTACTGTTGGCTGTACATAATCCAGCGTACGAGCCACAACCCGGTTGGTCAAGTACTGACTTCAGGTGGCTGTCCAGTGTCTGCTTGAAGACAGCCAGGGATCTATTGGTAATCCCCCTAATGTATGCTGGGAGGCAGCTGAACAGTCTTGGGCCCCTAACACTTATTGTGTTGTCTCTTATCGTGCTAGTGACACCCCTGCTTTTCATTGGGAGGATGTTGCATCGTCTGCCGAGTCTTTTGCTTTCGTAGTGAGTGATTTTCGTGTGCAAGTTTGGTACTAGTCCCTCTAGGATTTTCCAGGTGTATATAATCATGTATCTTTCCCTCCTGAATTCCAGGGAATACAGGTTTAGAAACCTCAAGCTTTCCCAGTAATTGAGGTGTTTTATCTCCGTTATGCGTGCCGTGAAGGTTCTCTACATTTTCTAGGTCAGCAATTTCACCTGCCTTGAAAGGTGCTGTTAGTGTGCAACAATATTCCAGCTTAGATAGAACAAGCAACGTGAAAGAGTCATCATGGGCTTGGCGTCCCTGATTTCGAAGGTTCTCATTATCCATCCTGTCATTTTTCTAGCAGATGCTTTGACATGATCACTCCCAGGTTTTTGACATTAGTTTTTCGCTCTATTGTGTGGATGGAATTTGTTTTATACTCCGATGAAGTTTTAATTTATTCACGTTTTCCATATCGGAGTAATTGAAATTTCTCATCATTGAACTTCATATTGTTTTCTGCAGCCCATTTAAAGATTTGGTTGATGTCCGCCTGGAGTCTTGCAGTGTCCTTCAATGGAGGACACTCATGCAAATTCGGGTGTCATCAGCAAAGAAAGACACTGCGCTGTGGCTTATATCCCTGTCGATGTCCGATATGAGGATGAGGAAGAAGATGGAGGCGAATACTGTGCCTTGTGGAATAGAGCTTTTCACCGTAGCCGCCTCAGACTACTCTGTTTACTACTCTCTGTGTTCTATTTGTTAGGAAATTATAGATCCATCGACCGACTTTTCCTGTTATTCCTTTATCAAGCATTTTATGCGCTATTACACCATGGTCACACTTGTCAAAGGTTTTTGCAAAGTCTATGTATATTACATCTGCATTCTGTTTGTCTTCTAGAGCATCCAGGACCTTGTCATAGTGGTTCAGTAGTTGGAACAGACAGGAGCGACCTGCTCTAAACCCATGCTGCCCTGGGTTGAGTAACTGATGGGTATCTAAATGGGTGGTGATCTTGCTTCTTAGAACCCTTTCAAAGATTTTTTGTATGGGACAGTAGCGCTATCGGTCTGTAGTTCTTTGCTATTGATTTACTTCCCCCTTTGTGGAGTGGGGCTATGTCTGTTGGTTTTAGTAACTGGGACGACCCCAGTATCCATGCTCCCTCTCCACAGGATGTTAAAAGCAGTTCTTGATGAACACGGAGTTCCATGAGTCTGGCCCTGGGGCAGAGTGCATGGGCATGTCATTTATCGCCTTTTCGAAGTCATTTGACATCAGGATAATATCAGATAGGTATCTGTCTACCAAATTCTCTCATAAATAATTCATTTAGGTCTTCGACTCTCAGTCTGGTTAGCGGCTTACTAAAAACTGAGTCATATAGGGACTTGAGTAGCTCACTCATTTCCTTGCTGTCATCTGTGTAGGACCCATCTTGTTTAAGTAGGGGCCCAATGCTGGATGTTGTTCTAGATTTTAATTTGGCATAAGAAAAGAAATACTTGGGGTTTCTTTCAATTTCATTTATGGCTTTTAGTTCTCGCGTTTCTTGACTCCTGTAAGATTCCTTTAACTTTAATTCAATGTTTGCTATTTCTCTGACCAGTGTCTCCCTACGTATTGCAGATATATTGGCTTCTTGTAGTGTGTACTCAATAGTTGTGACTCATCAACATATGATGGCGTCTTGTAGCCGGTGTTATTCTTTGTCTTCGCCTGTATAGGGAGCGCCTTTCTCTTTCTAGTTTAAGATAAGATAAGATAAGATTTCGTTCGGATTTTTAACCCCGGAGGGTTAGCCACCCAGGATAACCCAAGAAAGTCAGTGCGTCATCGAGGACTGTCTAACTTATTTCCATTGGGGTCCTTAATCTTGTCCCCCAGGATGCGACCCACACCAGGCGACTAACACCCAGGTACCTATTTGCTGCTAGGTGAACAGGACAACAGGTGTAAGGAAACGTGTCGAATGTTTCCACCCGCCGGGAATCGAACCCGGGCCCTCCGTGTGTGAAGCGGGAGCTTTAGCCACCAGGCCACCGGGCCACCTCCTTTTCCTTATGGGAATATACCTTGAGCATACCTCAAGTGCCACAGAGTTAATTTGTTCTAGACATAGGGTAGGATCCGTGTTGTTTATCCTGTCTTCCCAGTTAATATCATTTAGGACTTGGTTGACTTGGTCCCACCTTATGTTTTTGTTATTGAAGTTGAATTTGGTGAAGGCTCTCTCGTCACTGATCACATTTTTTCGGTCTGGGGCTCCGCGCATACATGTCTGAACCTCTATTATGTTGTGATCTGAGTATATTGTTTTTTATATGATGACATTTCGTATCAGATCATCCTTGTTAGTGAAGATGAGGTCCAGTGTATTCACCAATCTTGTAGGCTCTATTATTTGCTGGTTTAAGGTGAATTTGGTGCAGAGATTTAAAAGCTTGTGTGTGTGCGAGTTTTCATCTGACAGGATGGGACTTACACAGACGACAACAAGGAAATGAGTGAAATATTGAAATCCCAGTACGACTCTGTGTTTAGTGAACCACTAATCGGTCTGAGGATCGACGACCCAAATGATTTCTTCATGAATGAGCCTCAAAACTCCATAAATGTATGCCAGATTTCCGACATTACCCTAACTCCCATAGATTTCGAAAAAGCCATTGACAACATGCGTATGCACTCAGCCCCGGGCCCAGACTCGTGGAACTCTGTTTTCATTAAGAACTGCAAGAAACCCCTCTCGCGTGCCCTAAGTACACTATGGAGGAGGAGCTTGGACATGGGTGAAATTCCACAGTCACTTAAAACAACGGATATAGCCCCACTCCATAAAGGTGGCAGCAAAGCATTAGCTAAGAACTATAGACCAATAGCTCTGACATCCCATATCATAAAAATCTTTGAAAGAGTGCTAAGAAGCAGGATTGCAAATCACCTGGATTCCAAAATCTGCACAATCCAGGGCAACATGGGTTCAGGGCAGGTCGCTCCTGCCTCTCACAACTACTGGATCACTATGACATGGCCTTGGATGCACTGGAAGAAAATCAGAATGCAGATGTAATATACACAGACTTTGCAAAAGCATTTGACAAATGCGATCATGGCGTAATAGCCCATAAAATACGTGCTAAAGGAATAACTGGGAAAGTGGGGAGATGGATCTTCAACTTCCTAACAAATCGAACACAAAGAGTAGTGGTCAACAGAGTTAAATCGGAGGCTGCCATAGTGAAGAGCTCTGTTCCACAAGGCACAGTACTCGCCCCCATCTTATTCCTTATCCTCATATCAGACATAAACAGAGATATACACCACAGCACCGTATCATCCTTTGCGGATGATACTAGGATCTGCATGAGGCTGTCATCTGCTGAGGACGCGGTTAACCTCCAAGAAGATATAAACAAAGTTTTCCAGTGGGCAACGGTAAACAATATGATGTTCAATGAGGACAAATTCCAACTACTCCGTTATGGAAAACTGGAGGAGATAATAACTAGAACAGAGTATACTACTGACTCCGGCCATACAATAGAGCGGAAAAATAATGTAAGGGACCTGGGAGTAGTAATGTCTGAGGATCTCACTTTCAAGGATCACAACAGTGCCACGATCGCACGTGCAAAGAAAATGATAGGATGGATAATGAGAACTTTCAAAACGAGAGATGCCAAGCCCATGATGATCCTTTCAAATCACTTGTTCTCTCTAGGCTGGAATACTGCTGTACATTAACATCTCCATACAAAGCAGGTGAAATCGCAGATCTAGAGAGTGTACAGAGATCCTTTACTGCACGTATAAGTTCTGTCAAGCACCTTAACTACTGGGAACGCTTGGAAGCACTTGACTTGTACTCGTTGGAACGCAGGAGGGAGAGATATATCATAATCTACACTTGGAAAATCTTGGAAGGAATGGTCCCAAATCTGCACACAGAAATCACTCCCTACGAAAGTAAAAGACTGGGCAGGCGATGCAAAATGCCGCCAATAAAAAGTAGGGGCGCCATTGGTACACTAAGAGAAAACACCATAAGTGTCCGGGGCCCAAAACTGTTCAACAGCCTCCCATCAAGCATTAGGGGAATTGCCAATAAACCCCTGGCTGCCTTCAAGAGAGAGCTGGACAGATACCTAAAGTCAGTGCCGGATCAGCCGGGCTGTGGCTCGTACGTCGGACTGCGTGCGGCCAGCAGTAACAGCCTAGTTGATCAGGCCCTGATCCATCGGGAGGCCTGGTCATGGACCGGGCCGCGGGGGCGTTGATCCCCGGAATAACCTCCAGGTAACCTCCAGGTATGCCTCCCGGTATTATCTCTGCTAAAACATTATTTGCAATATTCCTCCATTTTAGGTGCCTTACGTTGAAATCCCCCAGGAGCTAGATGTTGGGGGCAGGAGCTGGAAGATTTTCCAGATAGTGGTCAGTTTTCAAAAGCTGTTCCTGGAATTGTTGGGACGTTGCACCCGGAGGCTTGTATACAACGACAATGACCAGGTTTTGGTTCTCGATCTTTACTGCTAAAACTTCAACTACATCATTTGAGGCATTTAGTAGTTCTGAGCATGTAAGTGACTCTTTGATATACAGGCCAACCTCCCCCCCTTCCTTTTGCCTGTTCACTCTGTCACATCTGTATAGGTTGTAACCTGGGATCCATATTTCGTTGTCCAAGTGATCCTTTATGTGGGTCTCTGTGAAAACCGCGAACATTACATTTCACTCTGTAAGCAGTCCACTGATGAAAGGTATTTTGTTATTTGTTACTGGCTTTAGACCTGTATATTTGCAAAGATGAATGTCGTCGGATTGATGGTATGGGAGATGGGTCTTTTTTTCCTGGCACTAATATCTGTTGTGTTGGAGTGGAGGCCATCGACTTTGATTCCACTCCAGAAATTATTGGAGCTGGTGTACGATTTCTGTCATTTCCTGCCAGCTTTTTTTCCTTCCTGGCGCTAAAAAAAAAAAAAAAAAAAAAACTCTCTGGAGTGGCTGTGGCTACCCAGGTTGTCCCATGGTCTGGATGATCTGTGACACATTTCAGGGTGGAAAAGTTTACAGGAAGGGAGGTTGCATTTTCCTGTTGTCATATGGGCACGGCAGTATCTGGGGTGGTCAAAGTTGCACGTCCCTTCTGTTTTTCCAGGTATTCCAGCACCACATCACCGTTCACCACCACCACACTGGTCTCTCTACTACTACTAACAATAATATATTTATTTCTACAAGTACTTGTACGAGGTATAAAGGCCTAGCTGACATCAGTGACATACTACTATATAGAAAGCCCCTTGTTATGCAGAGCATTTCGGGCAAATTTGGTCAGTTTTGCACCAGGATGCGACCCACACCAGTCGACTAACACCCAGGTTCCCCATTTTACTCCCATTTTACTCAATTACTGGGAGCGCTTGAAGTTCCTGAACCTGTACTCCCTGTAACACAGGCGGGAGAGATACATGATTATATACACCTGGAAAATCCTAGAGGGACTAGTACCGAACTTGCACACGAAAATCACTCACAACGAAAACAAAAGACTCGGCAGACGATGCAACATCCCCCAATGAAAAGTCAGAGGCCCGAGACTGTTCAACTGCCTCCCAGCATACATAAGGGGGATTACCAATAGACCCCTGGCTGTCTTCAAGCAGGCACTGGACAAGCACCTAAAGTCGGTACCTGACCAGCCGGGCTGTGGCTCGTACGTTGGATTGCGTGCAGCCAGCAGTAACAGCCTGGTTGACAAGGCTCTGATCCACCAGGAGGCCTGGTCACAGACCGGGCCGCGGGGGCGTTGACCCCCGGAACTCTCTCCAGGTAAACTCCAGGTATAGGTGAACATAGACAACGGGTGTAAGGAAACACGCCCAGTGTTTGTACCCTCGCTGGGAATCGAACCCGGACTTGCTGTGTGAAGCAAAAGCTTTAGCCACCAAGCCACGGAGCACCCAAATAGGAAAAGAGTAAAAGGAAATAAGATAGAGAGGAAAGGAACACAAGGAAGATATATACTCCAGGAGGCTGATAACAGCCTGATACTACAGACTGGCAGAGCAGACAGGAAGGTGCTAAGAGGGACACCCGGAGGTTATTTTATATTTATGGGGAAGCGCTAAACCCTTAAGGATCATTCAGCGCTTGGGGGATGGGAGGGGTAGAGGTCATCTGGTTTGATAGGATAAAAGGTAGGATAACTCCGATTCCTTGGGTCACGAGCCCTTCACCCTTTAGTAATGTTTTTTATGGGAAAATGCTTAACCCTAAGGGGTCACAAAGCAGTGAAGGTAGGTAGGTATCTTTAATAAATCATTTTAAATATATAATCATTCAAAAATGTTATAGAGGAGAGGTGATATTAGCAATGTTACAGCTACAATGTGTGTTAATGGTAGTATCTTGTACAGGAGGTATCACCATAGTTGCTGTGTGTGCAGCAGTGGGCAAGTGTTCACAGAACCAACAGAAGGACCAAGACTCATCACAGGAGAACATGGACCGCCCTCCCTCATACAGGATTTCTTGGAGAAGATCTTTCTTACGTCGCTACCGACGCCACACGTGAGTATTTCCTCATCCCCCCCCCCTATCTCTCTCAGTAAGGGGAGGATAACTCCAGTGCCTTCAATCAAGAGCCTTTTTTCCAAGCATTACTCGTTTAAGGGTTCTTATTAGTAATGGAATAACTTAAAAGTACCATTTAACCACAATAATAATAATTATTATAATTGTTGTTGTCATTGTTATTCATTATTCCTTATTCATTTCAGCTCACTAGAAAATGAAGTAACAGAGGTATCACACTTGGAGGATGGATTACCTTCCATGGGGTCCACCTCCTTCCATAACCCCAGCACACAGCCCAGTGTCATCCTCATGGCTTTTCAGCCAGCCACAGCCACCACCTCCCACACTTCTCTACATACTGACAACTATGTCCCACACAGCCAAGGCAATGTGTTTCCTCCCAGGAGTATCGCCAGCACAAGACACTCTGTATCTCTCTCAAATATCATGGATCCACCCAGCTATGAGGCTGCTGTGGCCATCATGGATGAAACTTCACTCAGGAAGCTCAGATCGGAAATATCACTGCCCTCAGCACCACTCACCTGACTTATTTTATTCATGGAAAGATTTTCACACAGTTGAGTTACTTAGCTGTTTTAACGTTTAAGGTTTTAATAATAAGATATTACAAGGACTACAATGGAAATAAATCACTCTTGACTTTTTTGGGGGGTTATCCTAGGTAACTTAAACTATGTATGATAATTGTACCTGGGTGTACCTGTGTCTAAGTAAGCTTACTTAGCCAAACAGCATGCAAGTACTTTGAAGAGGCTTTATCACTGAATTAGGTATTCCCCCGAACAGGTGCCGTATAGTGTTTGCTTGAACTTTTTTTTTCTCCAAGGTTTTCATTTATAATTTGGAAATGCTTCATCCACTTGGATTCAATGCATTCAGGGAAAGGTTCATGCAAGGACCCCAATGGAAATAGGTTACTTTGACTTTTTTTGGGGCTATCCTAGGTAATTTACACATATTAAACTATACGTGTACCTGTACCTAAGTAAACTTACGTGTGCAGGGGCACTCTGGTCAGTGTGATGTAAATGTTCTTGATATTGATTCCATGCAATAACTTGAGAAAACCTCTGCTGATCAGATTCAAACATTCAGTGCTGGCTTTATCTTAGGACTTTGTGATTATTCTTGGAGTTCATAGGTGCCAGTTTTATTTTTAAAATTGTGCCTGTATATCGCAGAGTCACTTATTTGCACAGAACTGCTTAATGCCTCCAATGATGTAGTGGAAGTTTTAGCAGTAAAGATCGAGAACCAAAACCTAGTCATTGTGGTAGTCTTACAAGCCTCCGGATGCAACGTCCCAGCAATTCCAGGAACAGCTGTTAAAAATTGACCACTGTCTGGAAAATCTTCCAGCTCCTGCCCCCAACATCTTGCTCCTGGGGGATTTCAACTTGAGGCACCTAAAATGGAGGAATATAGCAAATAATGTTGCAGTGATAACACCAGGAGGCAGCTCTGACAAGAACTCACATACACACGAGCTTTTAAATCTCTGCAAAAAATTCAACTTAAACCAGCAAATAATATAGCCTACTAGACTGGAGAATACACTAGACCTCATCTTCACTAACAATGATGATCTGATACGAAATGTCACCATTTCAAAAACAATATACTCAGATCACAACATAATAGAGGTTCAGACATGTATGCGCGGAGCCCCAGACCGACAAAATGAGATCAGCCACGAGGAAGCCTTCACCAAATTCAACTTCAATAACAAGAACATAAAGTGGGACCAAGTAAACCAAGTCCTAAACGATATAAGCTGGGAAGATAGACTAAGCAACACAGACCCCAACTTATGCCTAGAACAGATTAACTCGGTGGCACTCGATGTATGCCCAAGGCATACATCCTACACAGATGACAGCAAGGAAATGAGTGAGCTACTCAAGTCCCAATATGACTCAGTTTTTAGCAAGCAGCTAACCAGACTGAGAGTTGAAGATCAAAATTAATTTTTTATGAGAGAGCCACAGAATTTGGTAAACACAAGCCTATCCGATGTTATCCTGACACCAAATGACTTCGAACAGGCGATAAATGACATGCCCATGCACTCTGCCCCAGGGCCAGACTCATGGAACTCCGTGTTCATCAAGAACTGCAAGAAGTCCCTATCACGAGCTTTTACCATTCTTTGGAGAGGGAGCATTGACACGGGAGTCGTCCCACAGTTACTAAAAACAACAAACATAGCCCCACTCCACAAAGGGGGCAGTAAAGCAATAGCAAAGAACTACAGACCGATAGCACTAACATCCCATATCATAAAAATCTTTGAAAGGGTCCTAAGAAGCAAGATTGCCACCAATCTAGATACCCATCAATTACACAACCCAGGGCAACATGGGTTTAGAGCAGGTCGCTCCTGTCTGTCCCAACTACTGGATCACTACGACAAGGTCCTAGATGCACTAGAAGACAAAAAGAATGCAGATGTAATATATACAGACTTTGCAAAAGCCTTCGACAAGTGTGACCATGGCGTAATAGCGCACAAAATTCGTGCTAAAGGAATAACAGGAAAAGTTGGTAGATGGATCTATAATTTCCTCACAAACAAAACACAAAGAGTAGTAGTCAACAGAGTAAAGTCTGAGGTGGCTACGCTGAAAAGCTCTGTTCCACAAGGTACAGTACTCACTCCCATCTTGTTTCTCATCCTCATATCTGACATAGACAAGGATGTCAGCCACAGCACCGTGTCTTCCTTTGTAGATGACACCCGAATCTGCATGACAGTGTCTTCCATTGCAGACACTGCAATGCTCCAGGCGGACATCAACCACTTTACAGTGAATTTCACTTTACAGCAGTAGCCCTGAACCTAACTTTCCATAAAATGTCTTCACTATTCCCTATCTGAACAGGTTCAAGTCTTAATGGCTGATGCACCTTATAAGATTGTACCTTATAAGGTTATGCTTCACAGGCGCAAGTATGTCACTACTAAGTGTCACGTAAGCTTGGAGATGTTGGATTTGATGTGATGAATGGATAATGTCTCGTCTCATCTTCAGACTTGCCCGAAATGCTCTACATAACCATGGGCTTTCAGCATGCACAACCAGATGTCACCCATTTTCTGTTCATACATTGAATCATGTGCAAATAAATCTTTGACTTGACTAGTGCTGGTGTGTTTTGATCACAAGAAGATGTGCATTTTAATTGGTCTAGGTAAGTCCCAAGTTTGCTCATGCCAGAGTTGTATATATGTACTGGAATATGAATTGGTTAGCTTCTGATAATAAGGTGAACTTTGTAACTGATAAACAATCTATTAGTTTCATTATCAATTTCAGTTAAGTCATCAGGTAGCAAAAAATATGATTAATCATTTCCTAGGAGATTATTGATGCTGAGTGCATTATATTGGACTTAATATAATACACATCAGCATTTCTTTTTTAATTTTTTATTGCTTGTTTCTGTTTTTAAAGTTCCTTCACTAATTTGGCTCAGGTTGACAGATTTTATTGCTATAGTTGAAAAAATATCCTGTGTGATGGAGTACAACAGAACCTTCCTGTATGATTGACTACAACTGGATAACCATCCTGTGTGATGAAGTGTGATAGGAAAACCATCATTTTTTACTGGAGTATGACGAAAGCCGGAAAATTTAATGAATTTTTCAGGTAAACATAACATCTGCTTTAACCTTGTAAAATATGAAGATCAGGGTAGCACATATGATTGTATTGCTAATAATAATAAATTGTATTGTTATAAATTATAGTAAACATATGATGGTGTAACATAAAAAAAATTATCTTAAGTATAATTCATTTCTACATTTTAGCAAGCTTCACAATGATTCTGTAGTAATGTGCATTGCAAAATTATTTTGACAAAATTAATACATATACCAGACAGTTGAACTGTGTTAAGTTACCATATACTGTACTGTACTTAAAGAAAAGACTTAACAACATTTTTAGATAACGAAATGCCTGCTAATAAGTCTGCTTTCCTATGATAAATGCAATACTGTAGAAGAGCAGGCAAATTAGCAGATACAGTGGACCCCCGCTTAACGATCACCTCCAAATGCGACCAATTATGTAAGTGTATTTATGTAAGTGCGTTTGTACGTGTATGTTTGGGGGTCTGAAATGGACTAATCTACTTCACAATATTCCTTATGGGAAAAAATTCGGTCAGTACTGGCACCTGAACATACTACTGGAATGAAAAAAGTTCGTTAACCGGGGGTCCACTGTATATGTGTAACTCTGTATATTATTACATTCATGGAGACATGCTAACCCTGTAGGTTTTAGTGCCTGGGGAAGAGGAGGCAGTCAGGTTCAATCAAAGGGGAGAGTAGCTTCAATTCTTTGGATCAAGAGCCCTTCACTACCAAGGTGCCCCTTTTGAAGGGACACTATAGTATAGAGACCTCTCCTATTAATATAATTATGGAGAAGTGCTCAATCCATAGAGGTTGTATAGTATCTGGGGAAATAGGAGGAAATCATGTTCAATCCAAGAAAGGGGATGGTAAGTCCACTTCCTTGGATCAAGCCTATACGTACTAATTTTCCATAATTTAAACAATTTGCCTACAGTACAACTTTTACGTATTTTCCATCGTATGAAAAAGTTTTCTTCTTTACCAAGTTGCATTTCTTTGAAGAGTAGCAGGAATATTTTTTATGGTACTGCATACATATATTATATATTCAACGTATTGTACGTTACAATTTCAAGCTTATTGTAGTGAGAACAGATACATGTAAATACACGCTTGTCATACACTGCTAAAAACAATCATTTTCTAATACAGTATATAAGAATGCAGCTATGTAGCTCTTGTTTTGTTTACATGACAAAGTATCATTGTAAAATACACAGCTTTTGTACCACAAATATTTTTTTAATAAAAGTTTTTAATATACATATTTTGCATTTATTTATTAAACTTAGTCTCTTCTCTTTCCAAACAATGACTTGAATATTGTACTGTCCTACTACATGTATATGTAAAAAGATTTAATTAGATTTAAACAATATATTACAACAATATTTATTTTTTTATTCATATTCAAGTTACAACTCTCATTACATGGTTTAGTTACAATAAGTATTTTTATACAGAAAAGGAGAAATTCCATACACTGCCAGTACATAAGATAAGATAAGAGATAAGATTTCGTTCGGATTTTTAACCCCGGAGGGTTAGCCACCCAGGATAACCCAAGAAAGTCAGTGCGTCATCGAGGACTGTCTAACTTATTTCCATTGGGGTCCTTAATCTTGTCCCCCAGGATGCGACCCACACCAGTCGACTAACACCCAGGTACCTATTTGCTGCTAGGTGAACAGGACAACAGGTGTGAGGAAACGTGTCGAAATGTTTCCACCCGCCGGGAATCGAACCCCGGGCCCTCCGTGTGTGAAGCGGGAGCTTTAACCACCAGGCCACCGGGCCACCATGACAGTAATTCTATGCTCATCCTTGTGATCGTATACCTTATATCATTTCTCTCTTTTTTTTTAAATGTCTTTGTTAAACTTTTCATATCTCTATCATATATTTATTCTTTAAACATGTACGTACTTAATTTCTATATAGAGTAGAACCCCTGTATCCATGGATTCGGTTTTTGCCGTTTGCTATCTACAGTTTACTGTGGGCCAAAAATACCCTTATTTTTGCTTAATAATGACATCAAAGCGCAAAAGCAGTGATGGTAGCAGTTCTTTACAGCCTAAGAGAAGCTGCGAAGTGCATCCCATCATTGAAAAAGTGCTAATTCTCCACTTATTGTGTGTAATTTATCAGGTGAGATCATGGCGTAATTCTATGGCATGGACACTGACTTCAAACCCTTAATATTACGGCATGGATAGTGAAGTGGTTAAACTTTATCATAGGTATGTACAGTATGTAAATGAAAAACGACTTATATATAGGGTTTACTACTATCCGTGGTTTCGGGTATCCGCGGTAGATCTTGGAACATATCCCCTGTGGATACGGGAGAACTACTGTACAAAAAATATAGAGGCCCATTACATTTTCTTGTCGGTGAATTTGCCACATTAATTAATGAATGTGTGAATTATCATTGTATACATATGGGAAGCCCTAAACTCTTTGGGTTTGTACAGTGCCTAGTGAATGAAAAGCAGTCAGATTTGATCCAAGGAAAGGGAGGGTGCCTCCAATTCCTTGGATCAAGAGCTCTTCACTGGCATCAAGGTGCTTCCCTTAAAGATGTCATGTGAAATATAGGCATTTTGCAAGTAAAAATGAAAAATAGAAATTCAAATCTAATGTAGATATGAACCATCAAAAATTCTGCCTCTTTCTTCCATAATACAATTGTATCACTCTACCTGTAATATACTAATAAATACAGTACAATAAATTTAACAATATGCTTAATCATCTGACATGAAAACTTTGTTTTTAACACGGCCGTTGCCCACTGAGGCAGGGTGACCCAAAAAGAAAGAAAAAAAACTTTCATCATCATTCAACACTTTCACCATCACTCATACGTAATCACTGTCTTTGCAGAGGCGCTCAGATACAACAGCTTAGACGTCCCTCCAAACTGCTAATATCCCAAACCCCTCCTTTATGGAGGATAAATTAGTTAAAAATTAATTTATTGTCTACATGACTCACGAAATCGTAATGACACGATTGCAAACAAACCATTCCATGGGTGGGGTTTGAACCTGCAGTCAGTGTCTCAAAACTCCAGTTTTGAGACTCTCTGACCGCAGGTTCAAACCCCACCCGTGATATGGTTAATTTAGTGTCTATTTAAAAACTTTAATACGTACATTAAAGTACTGTTTAGTTCTTAAAATAACAATACCTGTAGTATCCTAAAACTGAAGTAATTTCATGAGAAACTTCTGCCACTATAATTTTTGTAGTGTTGTATCTCGTATATGGATTTAGTGCTTTTTATCACTATGATTATTAATTCTGTAAAAATAATATATGTACGTATATGTATTACAGTGCACCGAAAACACCTGACACCAGGAATGTTCACAAGAGTGAGATTAATACCAGTATGAGTTAACCAGATTTAAAATATGACACACAAAAACTTTTTTTTTTTTTTTTTTAACAAGTCGGCCGTCTCCCACCGAGGCAGGGTGACCCAAAAAAGAAAGAAAATCCCCAAAAAGAAAATACTTTCATCATCATTCAACACTTTCACTACACTCACACATTATCACTGCTTTTGCAGAGGTGCTCAGAATACAACAGCTTAGAAGCATATACGTATAAAGATACACAACATATCCCTCCAAACTGCCAATATCCCAAACCCCTCCTTTAAAGTGCAGGCATTGTACTTCCCATTTCCAGGACTCAAGTCCGACTATATGAAAATAACCGGTTTCCCTGAATCCCTTCACTAAATACTATTACCCTGCTCACACTCCAACAGATCGTCAGGTCCCAAGTATCATTCGTCTCCATTCACTCCTATCTAACACGCTCATGCACGCTTGCTGGAAGTCCAAGCCCCTCGCCCACAAAACCTCCTTTACCCCCTCTTTCCAACCCTTTCGAGGACGACCCCTATCTCTCCTTCCTTCCCCTATAGATTTATATGCTTTCCATGTCATTCTACTTTGATCCATTCTCTAAATGACCAAACCACCTCAACAACCCCTCTTCTGCCCTCTGACTAATGCTTTTATTAACTCCACACCTTCTCCTAATTTTCACACTCCGAATTTTCTGCATAATATTTACACCACACATTGCCCTTAGACAGGACATCTCCACTGCCTCCAACCATCTCCTCGCTGTTGCATTTACCACCCAAGCTTCACATCCATATAAGAGTGTTGGTACTACTATACTTTCATACATTCCCTTTGCCTCCATAGATAACGTTTTTTGACTCCACATATACCTCAACGCACCACTCACCTTTTTTCCCTCATCAATTCTATGATAACCTCATCCTTCATAAATCCATCCGCCGACACGTCAACTCCCAAGTATCTGAAAACATTCACTTCTTCCATACTCCTCCTCCCCAATTTGATATCCAATTTTTCTTTATCTAAATCATTTGATACCCTCATCACCTTACTCTTTTCTATGTTCACTTTCAACTTTCTACCTTTACACACATTCTCAAACTCATCCACTAACCTTTGCAATTTTTCTTTAGAATCTCCCATAAGCACAGTATCATCAGCAAAAAGTAACTGTGTCAATTCCCATTTTGAATTTGATTCCCCATAATTTAATCCCACCCCTCTCCCGAACACCCTAGCATTTACTTCTTTTACAACCCCATCTATAAATATATTAAACAACCATGGTGACATTACACATCCCTGTCTAAGACCTACTTTTACTGGGAAGTATTCTCCCTCTCTTCAGCACACCCTAACCTGAGCCTCACTATCCTCATAAAAGCTCTTTACAGCATTTAGTAACTTACCACCTATTCCATATACTTGCAACATCTGCCACATTGCTCCTCTATCCACTCTATCATATGCCTTTTCTAAATCCATAAATGCAATAAAAACTTCCCTACCTTTATCTAAATACTGTTCACATATATTCTTCAATGTAAACACTTGATCTACACATCCCCTACCTACTCTGAAGCCTCCTTGCTCATCTGCAATCCTACATTCTGTCTTACCTCTAATTCTTTCAATTATAACCCTACCGTACACTTTTCCTGGTATACTCAGTAAACTTATTCCTCTATAATTTTTACAATCTCTTTTGTCCCCTTTCCCTTTATATAAAGGGACTATACATGCTCTCCGCCAATCCCTAGGTACCTTCCCCTCTTTCATACATTTATTAAACAAAAGTACCAACCACTCCAACACTATATCCCCCCCTGCTTTTAACATTTCTGTCATGATCCCATCAGTTCCAGCTGCTTTACCCCCTTTCATTCTACGTAATGCCTCACTTACCTCCACCACACTTACATTCTGCTCTTCTTCACTCCTAAAAGATGGTATACCTCCCTGGCCAGTGCATGAATTTACCGCCTCCCTTTCTTCCTCAACATTTAAAAGTTCCTCAAAATATTCTCGCCATCTACCTAATACCTCCCTCTCCCCATGTACAGTGGACCCCCGGTTAACGATTTTAATCCGTGCAAGAGGGCTCATCGTTATGCGAAATAATCGTTATGCGAATTAATTTTCCCCATAAGAAATAATGGAAATAAAATTAATCCGTGCAAGACGCCCAAAAGTATGAAAAAAAATTTTTTTTACCACATGAAATGTTAATTTTAATACACACAAACTGAAAAAGGCATGCACAATTACATGACACTTACTTTTATTGAAGATCTGGTGATGATTGATGGGATGGGAGGAGGGGAGAGCATTATCTTCTTACTGTTTAGAAGGGGAATCCCCTTCCATTAGGACTTGAGGTAGCAAGTCCTTTTCTGGGGTTACTTCCCTTCTTCTTTTAATGCCACTAGGACCAGCTTCAGAGTCACTGGACCTCTGTCGCACAACAAATCTGTCCATAGAGCTCTGTACCTCCCGTTTCTTCAAGACTTTCCTAAAATGGGCCATAACATTGTCATTGAAATAGTCACAAGCACGGCTTGCAACAGCTGTGTCAGGGTGATTTTCATCTATAAAGGTTTGCAGTTCAAACCACTCTGCACACATTTCCTTAATCTTTGAAGTAGGCACAATGGATTCCACAACTGGCATAGGCTCTCAGGGTTAGCCCCAAACCCTTCAAAATCTTTCTTAATTTCCATACTAATTCTCACCCTTTTTACCACAGGGTTGGCACTAGAAGCTTTCTTGGGGCCCATGGTCACTTATTTTCCAGAAACACCACCGAAAACACTGTAATAATACGAAATATTCCGAGTGTATGCTTGGATGTTACCGCGGAGGCTGGCTGGTAAACAATGGGACGGCCGGCACATGTGAGGGCACATTGGACGCGTCTCGGACGAAAATCGGTATGCGGGTTTTTAATCGGTATGCGGGGCAAAAATTTTGCGATAAAAGTAATCGTTATGCGGAAAAATCGCTATGCGATGCCATCGTTATGCGGGGGTCCACTGTATTAATTACAGTGGACCCCCGCTTTACGATCACCTCCCAATGCGACCAATTATGTAAGTGTATTTATGTAAGTGCGTTTGTACGTGTATGTTTGGGGGTCTGAAATGGACTAATCTAATTCACAATATTCCTTATGGGAACAAATTCGTTCAGTACTGGCACCTGAACATACTTCTGGAATGAAATAATATCGTAAACCGGGGGTCCACTGTATTTATAAACCGACAAGTAGATGAATAAGATACAACTGCAACTCTTTAAGTATCTATTGTGGAGATATTTCACACTGGCGAATCTTCTCCACAATAAAGATGCCCAGAATTGCATGTGTCTTATTCACCTACATAAAAATTGTCATTAGCATAAAATGGTGAAAGTTTTGCACTGTAACACTGGGCCAGCAACAATAAAGAGGCAGTTTCATTGACACTGTTTCAAACTTCTCTGAAAAAACAACTGATTATTAAGAAACAGTCTACAACCATGTGCTAAGGTATCCAAGGTCTTCAAAATTGTTCATTTTATTTATTAAAAAGAAATCCAGCTGAGTACTTTTGGTAAATTAGGAAAAAAATATAGCTTGAGGGAAAAAAAATTTAGCTTACATTACATGACACATGATACAGAGACCAGGCCCAATTAGCTAATATCATAGGATGACTAAAACTTCATGAGTGGCTATCAAGCCAAGGTGTGTTTGTGGTTAGAGGAAAGTGTCATAATTATGAAAGTTACCAATTGCTAATTATGGTCAAAAATTTCAAATATAATACAAAAATTTAGGTTACCATATGTGTACTAGAAACAATTCAAATACAATAACCTTATCATTCAATACTGTATATACAATATATACTAGCTGGAACAGCTCACTCTTAACTTCCTAGACCAGTCAGGAGGGGCATTTGCATAGCCTTTCTTTTCTGCTTCATCTTGTCTTTGAAAAGGATTTCTTAACACCCTGAAAAATTCATTAAAGGAACAAAAATTACCTTGTTCAACTTCCTCTATTATTTGGTGAGCAATCCAGTTCCGTAAGACATACTTTGGATTGGTTAAGGCCATTATCCCCTGCCGAATATCGTCAGTCGATTCTTCTTCTCGCAATCTTATTTTGTACATGTCCAAAAATTTTTGAAACTTATCATCTGTAATAATTTTATTCAAAGCCCAAAAATCCTGTGGCAACTTCTTTGCTTCTATTTCCTTCAGGGATACATGTCCCAGCTCCCAAAAAGTCATTGTAAAATCTGCTTTATTAACCATCATCATATTTAGAAGGTTATTAATAAGCTGCTCATCCTTTTGTTTAAAAGTCTGAAGTCCTAATTTTTTGGAAAATAAACTTAAATATGCCATTTTGAATTTAGAATCATAACCATTAAGGATGATTTTCACCTGATGTGTTTGTTCTTGAGTGAGAAGCTGTAGAAGAGCATTACCTAATCTCTCTAGATTATTAAATCCAATTTGAGGTTGGTTCTGGTAGCTGTACAATCCTTCATCATCGGAAGAATTTGGAATAAAATTAGGGTCATACATGTCCATAAACCCAAAAGGTCCATAGTCAATAGTAATTGACATTATACTCATATTGTCAGTGTTCATCACACCATGGGTAAAGCCAACACTCTGCCACTGAGCAATCATCTCTGCTGTGTCTTCAACCACTGCAGAAAACATACTTAAATATCTATCTGGATCTGTAATAAGTATTGTTTTGAAGTGCTTTCTGATGATATGGTCAACTAAGAATTTTAGTGACTCAACTTCATTTCTTTTTGAAAGTATTTCCAGTGAGCCAAACCTGAAAAAAATAGGCAACTTAATGAAAAATACTGTTTTTTTATTTTATTTTTTTTTTAACAAGTCGGCCGTCTCCCACTGAGGCAGGGTGACCCAAAAAGAAAGAAAATCCCCAAAAAGAAAATACTTTCATCATCATTCAACACTTCCACCTCAGTCACACACAATCACTGTTTTTACAGAGGTGCTCAGAACACAACAATTTAGAAGTATATACATGTACGTATAAAGATACACAACATATCCCTCCAAACTGCCAATATCCCAAACCTCTCCTTTAAAGTGCAGGCAACATTGTACTTCCCATTTCCAGTACTCAAGTCCGGCTCTATATATAGTGTAAATACAAAACTACAAAATATATACAGTGTAATATATTGGTATACATAGTAGATATAATTCTCCAATAAATTTTTACAAATGTAATGGAAGAGCATTTTGAAATAGCTGCAAAAAAAAAAAAATTCTTCTTAATACAGCATTATGTACTAAACTTGAGCTCTGTGGTAATGACTTAAGTGGCACACAGAGAATTACCTTTAATAATTATAATACAGCCTCTCCTCACTTAGCAACGTACTCGTTTACCGATGCCTCGGAGTTACAATGGGCTCTCTGACCAGTGTTTATACCTAAATAATGTATATTAGAGCTAATTTCCTCTATTCTGTTTATTTCAGTATACAGTACACTACTGTATAAACATTTAAAAATATACCAGAAATGTTATAAATGGTGCAAAGGTGACATTAAAACAATTTATTTATTTATTTATTTATTCATTCGAACATGATACAGTGAAGTACAAAGGAATACAGTTATTACAGTGCAACATGCCAAAGCCCCTTGTATGCAGAGCATTATGGGCAGGCTTAAAACAATATCAAAGATGATTGACACAAACCCACTACCATTATAGTATGCTCCTCGCTTAGTGACGAATTTGTTTAACGACGTAGTCCTAGCAACAAAGCTCCGCCATTAAGTGAGGAGAGGCTGTAATTAATAATTAATAAACCCAATCTGATGTTTGGAAGGTCATCAGTTTTACAAACTTATCAAATACTACTCAGTGCATTAACCCTGATTTTTATACAGACAAGATGTACAGTACATAAACAAAATTTATCTAATTTGTGGAGGCACCAAAAACAGCCTATATTTTTAATTATGAATAAGTGTCACCATACAGTACTTACTGTAGAGTGAACCAAAGAAGGTTCATATTAAGAGAGAGATTTAAAAAATAAATAAAAAAATAGTCTGAAATATATTTTAATGTCATGTAAATTTATGACCTCTCTTACATGTACAGTGGACCTGCGCCTTACGATATTAATCTGTTCCTGAGAGCTCATCATAAGCCGACATTATTGTTAGCCAAATTAATTTTCCCCATAAGGAATAATGAAAATCAAATTAATCCGTTCCTGACACCCCAAAGTATGAAAAAAAAAAAATTTTACCACATGAAATATTAATTTTAATACACACAAACTGAAGAAGACATGCACAATTACTACTCTACTAAGAATAGAATACATGACACTTACCTTTATTGAAAATCTGGTGATGATTGATGGGAAGGGAGGAGGAGAGTGTGTGGAAGTTACTGTTTAGAAGGGTAATCCCTTCCATTAGGACTTGAGGTAGCAAGCCCTTTTCTGGGGTTACTTCCCTTTTAATGCCACTAGGACCAGCTTGAGAGTCACTGGACCTCTGTCACACAACAAATCTGTCCATAGAGCTCTGTACCTCCAGATCCTTTAAGACTTTCCTAAAATGGGCCATAACATTGTCATTGTACAGGTTGCCAACACGGCTTGCAGTAGCTGTGTCAGGGTGATTTTCATCCGTAAAGGTTTGCAGTTCAACCTACTTGGCACACATTTCCTTAATCTCTTTTTTCAATTCCATACTAATTCTCACCCTTTTTACCACAGGGATGGCATCAGAAGCTTTCTTGGGGTCCATGGTGACTTATTTTGCAGTTACAAGCACTAAAAACACTGGGATAATGTGAAATGTACCGAATGTATGCGTAGATGCGACCGCACTGGCTGGCTTGTAAACACTGGTGCTGAGGCCACATGTGGGACGTGTCCCGGACGAATCACATAAGGCGAGTTTTTTATCGTGAGGCGAGGCAAAATTTTTGCGTTCAAACGCTTCATATGGCGGATTTAATGTAATGCGATGCGTTCGTAAGGCGGCGGTCCGCTGTGCTTTTATGTATGCTCTAAAATCACTACTTTATGTATCACTTTATCAAGTAAATACTTTTTGAATTCATCACTTTATTCTGTTGCAAGTGTACATTACAGCATATGCATAAATCACTTTTTTTAGTGCTTTAAAATCAATCCTCCTTACAAAAAAGACAATAAGGTACTGAAGGAACTTTCAGTGTGGGAGATGCTGTTTTTCTACTTACAGTAATGCTATGAAATGTTTTAAATAGTAGTTACCTAAACCAAGTTAGAGCCAGCCGAAGCACAACTGCAGTTTTCTCCATTTTCATTTTACCATCATAAAATTGGTCTCTTATTGCTAGCTCATCTCCTACCACCAATGATGCACATCTTGATGTACGGAATCCTAAATCAATGGAAGAATTATTGTAATCACAGTGATACATTAATAAATATTGAAACTAATCTTTTGAAGAATAAGTCAATGTTCCTCAATAAAATTTATTAATATAGTAGTACTGTACATATATACACATTTAGTACTGCAGTTGAAATTTTCACCCATTCTAGAATCTCAAGGAAGTAGGGCACAATATCTGAGTTTATTAGGTTACCCTAAGTTAAATTATGTATAACTCATACAAAATTACGCACGTCTAGATAAAAGCTTACTAAATTATTCCTGTTGTTAGGTAAGACACATATGCAACAGTTAGGTATCTTTATTTCGAAACGTTTCGCCTACACAGTAGGCTTCTTCAGTCGAGTACAGAAAAGTTGATAGAAGCAGAAGAGACTTGAAGACGATGTAAATTAATCCTGTAAGCTTTAATCTCTTAAAATGCAATATTTCTGCAACACTTTTCCACACTACTATCCTAAATTCATCCCTACCTATATAACTCATATTCAGTACTACAAGAAACATAACAAGAGAAAACTACATAAATTTAGTAAATTTTTTCTAAAACAATTTTCTGAAATTAATAACAGTCTATGTAGTATTCTCAATGAAAATTTAAATGCATGCAACAATCAAATGAAAATTTCCATGGCTTAAAACATATAAAACCCTCCATAATTTATTAATTTTGCTCACTTCTAGTAAAATGACATTACCTGTACTAGGGGCCCTTGTTGGTTTATCACTTAGTTATGATTGTAATAATAATAATAATAATAATAATAATAATACCTGTACTAGATCATTTTCCACTTAACTTTTATTTAGCCTAAAAATAAACTATAATACTAGTTTATTTTTCAATGTATCATTTATGCACTTTTAGTATTCTTATGCCATTTCGACTTTAAATTAATCTTTCTTATTCTTTGTAATTCTCTTTACAAACTTCTATATTATGTACCATGAAACTTGTGGTTATGAGTATCAACTTCGCACTTTAATCATAAATCCTTTTATACTATACCTTGCAAATCTAATATAGAAATTGAGTGTTCTACTGTATTGTTATATCATGAGCTATTGTAGTTTTCTGTAAATACTGCATCATGCAATGTAGGTGAACTTTACAAAAGTATGGCAAATGTCATCACTTTTTCAATACTGTAAGTTTTCTCTTATTGGTATATCCTAACAGAGATTAAGTTTAAGTAAAAGCCGTTGTTTATTACCTAGTGCATCCATAGCTTCAGCAGCTAAAAATTCCCTAACCGATGACCGTATAACTGCTCGGCCATCTCCATTACGAGAGTATGGTGTCTTGCCAGAACCTTTTAACTGCAGCTCCCACCATTCTCCTTTTCTGTAATGTAAATAAACAATCACTCCCTGATAGCTTCAAGAATATTAGCAATATTAATAATAATAATAATGTTTATTTTGACATGATTCATTGTTGTACAAAGGAATACAACAGTTGGGTTTGCATGCCCCTTTGTATGCAGAGCATTTCGGGCAAACTTGAAATTAACATAAGATGAATAAGGGAATAACAGTTCATATGGTCATTAGATGAGTTACAATGAGTACAAAAGAATTGAGCATTCTATTAGATAGCTGTATGGCTGTAATAAGTCTAGTAGTGCAGATCAGTATAGAATAATTACAGTTTTGATATAGTTTATAAAAGTACAGGATTACAATTGAGAACAAGTTAAAACAATTTACAATGTGAAGTAAGTATTACAATTTAGTACATTTTAAACAATGAGATTGAAACACAAAAAAAGCGCACATAGAAGAGAGGAGCTTACAACGATGTTTTGGTCCGACTTGGACCGACTTTGTAAATGGTCCAAGTTGGACCGAAATGTCGTCGTAAGCTCCTCTCTTCTATGTGCGGGTTATTTGTGTATCGTTCCAGTCACGATATTGTGCCTTCTTTTTTGTTAGATTGAAACACTTATAAGTTTGTAGTAATGAGTAAATGGTTGAGCAATCATCAGCAATATGCAGTAATGCAACTGAAACAATTTTAAGTTCGAAGTAGATTATCAAATAGTTGAGTAGTCTTAAATTATTTAGAAACTTCAGTAACTAGTAGGTATTAAGTAAAATGTTTGGTTAATTTTGGGTGATACCTGGAGTTTACCTGGAGAGAGTTCCGGGGATCAACGCCCCCGCGGCCCGGTCTGTGACTAGGCCTCCTGGTGGATCAGAGCCTGATCAACCAGGCTGTTACTGCTGGCTGCACGCAATCCAACGTACGAGCCACAGCCCGGCTGGTCAGGTACCGACTTAGGTGATAAGGTGATTTCTAAGTAGGGCCTTAAATTTATTTGCAGGCAGGGGTCCTTTAGTGTATTCTCGCAATGAATTCCAGATCTTCGGGCCCTTTACGTGCATAGCATTTTTGCATAGGGAGAGATGGGCTTGTGGAATATTGAGAGTGATTTGTGTCTTGTATTAAGGCTGTATTTTCTGCTATAGTTATCCAGGAGGAGTCTGAGAGGAGGGTTTCTGTTTGAGTATAGTGTTCTGTGTATGTAGTAGGCACAATAATATGTGTGGATGTTTTGTATATTAAGCAAGTTAAGACTTGAAAAGCAGTGGAGTATGCTTTGAAAAGTGGTGGAGTATGCTGAAATGATATTTATGGCAAATTAAAAAGATAATTTTGAGATAGTACATGACATCTGAGAATGAATTCACATACTTTTACACATGGAAAAAGCTTTAATATTATACTGTACAATAGATGGATTACTTTACAGTACTATAGGACAAAATTTTCTGCAGAGAGCTAAAAGCTTCTGTAAATAATATTGCAAAGAAATGTAGAAAAATTATATGCATCTTCTAAGTTACAACAAAAGTTACATCTGTATGAAATGTCAACCCCACCAACCTATTCGTGTAATGCCCAAGAAGGTGAGCTCTGCCATCCCCGAGCTGCTCTGCCCACCACCCAAACTGATAACCACCATAGCGATGAGCCATGGGAGTTGATGATGGATGCTGCCAAGCTCCAGATACAAAATCATGAAATAAAGAAGACGAAGCAACATCTGGGTGCAAGTCAATGAGTTCTAGGGCTGCTGGTGATATTCCTGCTAACACTGTCTGCCCCCTAAGTGGTGTTGGGTCTACAACTGAAAATATTGCATTTGGCACATTCCTCCTGACATAGTTTTCAGACACAGCATCAAGTGGAAAGGCTAAAAATTCAATGGAACTAAATTTCCAATCTCCTTGTGCTACATCCTTATAAAGAGATGGATGATTATCATCCTTTTCATGCTCATTTGTACTTTCTATGGGTTTAATATCCATTTTCTCTTTCTTTATGTACAGACTGCCATTTAATGGTTTATAATATTTATGATAAAAATTAAATGAAGGAATATCAGCACATTTAGTGATGAACTTCGTAGCTGCAACAGGAGACTTGCAGAAACCTCTTGCAACAGTGAAGAAATCATTGCTTAAAACATCTAAAAGAAATATGGATGATAGACATGGTGCGTAGTGGATAAATTTCCAGTGCCAGGGCCAAAAACCAAGTGGTGAGAGAAATAACAAAAGTTAGTAATAGTTTGCAGTGTAAAACTTTGTGTGATCTTCCTGCACTGTTGGGCCATAACCAATCCTTTATTTCATAGATGAACCCCTTATTCCCTCCCCTTCCTGTTGTTGTTATTATTTTATTTTAATCAAGGGGGAAGCGCAAAACCCCGGGGATTATACAGCCGGGGGTTTGGTTGGGGAAAGCCATTCAGGTTTAATTCGGGGAACGGGCACAGTTAAATTTTCCAAAAAAATTTAAAGACCCCCTCAAACATAAAGGGAAACTTCCTTGAGGGGCGGGTTTTGTTGCCCCTTGTGGGTTTGCCTTTAATAACACTATTTCGCCGTTTCAATGTTTTCCCCGGGGTAAATGTTTGGTGTACATAAAGCCCCTTAATATGTAGGCATTGTAGTAAAAATGTAAAAATAACCCTTTGTTTTTTTTTTTCAGACTCCTTTTAAAAGCCCCTGAAAAATGATGTTGATGATTGGTTATTAAGAGCCATTGAGTTCCTTCTACTGAGCCTGTATTATGTGTCTGGAGAGGATCACTGCCATAACTGGGTGAAAGAAAAGAAGAAGAATTAAAGTGGATCTCCCACCCAAGAGCGGTCGGGGTAGACACCACACAAAAACGGGCCCCGGTGACCGGCTTCTCTGTAAGCCTTTATAACATTAAAAGCTTAATTTTGTTTACAAAATGACTCAAGAAATCGTAATGACACGATTGCATTTGTGGTCCAGAGGTGCTGTGCTAACTTTCCTATGGTGTAAAAAATTTCCCTAGTTGGATAAATCTTTTTGTGGCTAGCTGGTTAGTGGCAAAACGCGAGGGCTGGGTTTTGGTTCTATACCGGGGGTTCAACCCCGGCCGGGGGTATGGTTTATTTGCACGTGCTTTACGTTTTCTTGAGTATGTTGCGGCAGTAAAGGGGGGATTGAGCTAGAGTTGTCAGGGCCACGCTAGTGGGTTGCTGAAAAAAATTGCATTTGTGGTCCAGAGGTGCCGTGCAACTTTTCCTTGGTGGTAAAATTTTAATATTTGGATAAATCTTTTGTGGCTAGCTGGTCTAGTGGTAACGCGCGGGCTGGAGTTTTGGACTATGCCGGGGGTTAAATCCGGCCGGGGGTATGGTTTGTTTAAAAACATTGACAGAAGAGTTGTAATCTAGCAAAGATTGTACAATTAGCTCGTGATGAAATAGCACATCATCCAGTAAATGTTACTGTTGTAGCTCACGTTGTACTTCTGCTACATTTTGCATCATAAATAGCATTATTTTAAAAATTTATATTTATATATATAATATATTAATTTTATTTATTTATTATTAATATTTTAATAATATTATTATTATATATATATTTTTATATATATTATATATATATATTATTATATATATATAATTTTATTATATATTTATATAAAATTTTATTATATATTTTATTTTATTTATTTATATATATATGTCGTCCCAAATATGTAAAACTGGTCAATTAGCAAGAACTTTTTTAAAATTAAAGTTTTTCTGAAATTTTCTCTTTTAGTTTAAAGAATACTTTTTTTCATTAATGTTAATGAAAAAAAATTTTAAATTTTTGCCCCAAAAAGAATTTTTGAAAATTTCCCTAACCTTATTATCAAGCGCAATTTATTTTTGGGCAAACCCCAAAACTAAATATTTTTAGTTTTGTTTAAAAAATTTAATCTAAAAAAAAACTCGGGAAAATTTTTTTTTTCGTTAGGTTCAGAATGATTTTGGCGAAATTTTTGCCCCAAAAAATTTTCATTTTCCCTATAGGAAAATGCGTTGCTTTTAACCCAAGATCGCAAGTTCTCCCTATTCGGCACGACATTTATATTTATTTTTTATATATATAATATATTTATATATTTTTATATATTTATTTATATTATATATATATTATTAATATATATATTTATATACCCCCAAGTTGGTACATCTAGTGATTCTGCACATGATACAGTTAATATATTACTCATAGCAGCGTATGTGTGATTCCCGGGGAGCCCCAAAAAGTAAAGTGGCTTAAACATAATAGTATTTCTACATGTACAAGGCTTAGTCCTTGTTGACATAAATGACATTTATTTCCTTTTGGGGGGCCCTTTTTATTATTATGGTTATTATTATATTCCCTTTGAGGAAAATTTTTGGATCATTGGTTTTAAATTAATAAAAAATTTTCGCTTTTTTTTTCCAGTTGCATGGTGGCAAAATTTTTCGCTTTTACGGCGCGTCCGGGTTCGTTCGCAGGGGGTAGAAATTGGGGTTTTTCTTTAAAAATATTGTCTTGTTCCCCCATCAGTAAAAAAGGGGTCCCTGGGTGTTAGTGGACTGGGGGGGTCGCATCCGGGGGCAAAAAGACCTAATTTTTTATTAGATTATTATTATTTTTTATTATTTTATATTATTATTATTTTTATTTTTATTTTTTATTTTAAATTAAATATTTTTTTTATTATTATTATTATTATTATTCGCGTGAGACCATTTGGGCCCTGGAGCCCAAGGAAATTTTTGTTGTTGATTAAGTGTGAGTCAGGTTTTCTGGTTTGGGTTTCAAGGGTTTTCACCTACCTAATTGTGATAATTTTTGTTCTCGTTTTATTCCGGAGGAAACTTTGTTTCCTTTAAAAATTTCTGACCATCTGTCCTGGGAAAAAATTTTTCCGGGGATAGAATTTAAAGTTTTAGTTCCCTTAAAAACCCAAAACAATAACACGGGGTAACAAATCCTTGGTTTTTTGATTTTATATTATTATTATTATTAAATAGAAAGTTACGCAAAAAGGGGTGTTTGATTTAAAACCTAAAGGTATTTAATACTGTATAAAAGTGTGTGTACACATACAACAGTGTTTTTTTGCACTGATCATTTTTAAATCTATACTTGTATCCCCTACTACATATTAAAAAAAGAAAATCTTTTTTTTTAAAATAATAATAAAATTTATTATACACTCCCAATAACTACTGACATATTATTTCTTTTAATTAATTAGATTAATATACGTTCTAATTACAGATTTTTCTATTAAGGAAATAAAAAAAGTTTTATATTAATCCTTCAATTTCCCCGTTTTGATTTTGAAGTTTTCTTGACCCAAAGGGAAATTGAAGACACCCCCCCCTTCCTTGGATCAAATAAGTTATCTCAGCCCCTTCTTTTTCCCGGCATTGTACAAATAATAATAATTATATAATAATGTTATTTATACAAGTACATGTAAAGGTAAAACAGACCATGGGTGCTAAATGACATACTATTATACAAAGCGCTTGTTATGTGAACTTTTCCGAAAAATTTAAAGTCGACTTTGCCCCGGTGCGCGTTAGCCTTTGGGGGTTTAGCGTTTTTTTTATTATAATAATAATAATTGCCCCGGATGCGCCCCACCCCAGCCCCAAACCCCCGGTCCCTATTTTACTGCTGGGGAAATATGGCAGCGGGATTTTAAAGGGAAATAGTCCTAAGTTTCCACCCTTTGGGGGGATCAAACATGGACCTCAGTGTGTGAGCTGAGTGTGCTATCAACGATCTCGGGGCACCAAATTTAAATTTACTTTTTAAGCTTTTTCCCAAAAATTTTAAATAAAATTGTTATCATTTAAAATTGCCATAACCCAAAATTAAAAAATTGTGGCCCTAAGTGGACCTTTTTTGTCTCTTAAGTATACTGTGTTAACTTTAAATTTAAGGGTTTAGGGCCTCTTTAGCACAACTGTCAAAATATATGGAAAAAACTCGGAAATAGTTTCCCTTGAAAATTTTCTGCTTCAAGTAAGTGTACCGTGAGCCCTTTTTACACTGCAGGAAAAATAAATCTATTTTTTTTTTTTCCCTTCAAAAAATTAGTTGCTTAAAAAACTAATGAGTACGAAATTTTAGTATTTTTTAAGTATTTTTGCTGCCTAAGGTTCATTTTAAGTTTTACTCAGTATTTTTAAGTTTTGGGATCTTTTTGGGAAAGAATCAAGACAGCGGAGGGCCCCAAAATTAAGAAAACTGAAAAAAAATTAATAAAGAGAAACTGAAGAAGAAAATTTACATCTGCTGGGGGAAACAAAGTTTGTCTTTGATATTAAAAAATTTACTTCAGTGACCCAGTAGTAATATTTCAGTTGCCCAACAGTTGTAAAATCGGGGGAACCAGTGTGAAGAACTCTTGAATTTGACTTGGAAAAGGGAAATATGTTCATTTTTTTAACCTGGGGTATGCACGGAAATACTTTTGTTTTTGTCCAAAGTTGGTAATGGAGAAAAAAAGTGTAATGGGGGAATGAACCCTGGACATGGGGCATGGGGAAAGGGGGTTAGTTACTCTAGTATTAGTTGATGGAAGAAATTTTTAAATATCTTTGTTTTTGTGATTCTTATGTTCTGTCTATTGTGAAAATGAATGATGAAAGTCTGTGGTTGTCACTTGGTTTTATTGGAAAAACAAAAGCATATACAATGGAGCTTTTTTTCAGCTGCTTTCTTCTGCCACTAATGCACCAGCACCTCTATTTGATTTTGGGAATTTTCAGACTTTTTTTTCAAGCTTTTGCTGTCCTAGTGTTGTGTTCATGGTAATACCAACTCCCCTTTTTTCTCGGTTCTTTATTTTGTCCTCATTTGCCTCAACCCCCAAAAAGATGTCTTCACTTATTACATTTGATTTTCTTGAAGTACAGTGCAATTTTAAAAGAATTTTTGTTTACTTTTAGATATTGATAGCTAAATCTTGTTTTATTGAGTTTACATTATGATTACTTTGGAATATTTAAAAGTTTCAAAGGTAGGTAAATTTTTTGTAATTTTTTTTGCCTTTATTCCAGTTGTGTATAGCAGAACTTATTTTATGAGAAATATTAAAAAATTTAGATTACTTCTTTGCATTTGGAAAGGTTTGGAATAAAAAATAGTAGTGCATAATTTAA